CTTGTCCTCTGTGTGAGGTACCTTCTGCTCAGCGTGAGGAACCTTGTCCTCAGCTTGAGGAACCTTGTCCTCAGCCAGAGGACCTTGTCCTCAGCGTCAGGAACCTTGTCCTCAGCGTGACCAACCTTGTCCTGGGCGTGAGGAACCTTGTGCTCAGTGGGAGGTACCTTGTCCTCAATGTGAGGTACCTTGTCATCAGCTTGAGGAACCTTGTCCTCAGCGTCAGGAACCTTGTCCTCAGCGTGAGGAACCTTGTTCTCAGTGTGAGGAACCTTGTCCTGGGCGTGAGGAACCCTGTCCTCAATGGGAGGTACCTTGTCTTCAGTGTGAGGTACCTTTTCCTCAGCTTGAGGAGCCTTGTCCTCAGCTTGAGGAACCTTGTCCTCAGTGTGAGGTACCTTGTCCTCAGCGCGAGGAACGTTGTCCTCAGTGTGAGGTACCTTGTCCTCAACTCGAGGAACCTTGTCCTCAGCGTGAGGAACCTTGTCCTCAGTGTGAGGTACCTTGTCCTCAGCGCGAGGATCCTTGTCCTCAGTGTGAGGTACCTTGTCCTCAACTCGAGGAACCTTCTCCTCAGCGTGAGGAACCTTGTCCTCAGTGTGACGTACCTTGTCCTCAGAGGGAGGAACCTTGTGCTCACAGTGAGGAACGTTGTCCTCAGCTGGAGGAACCTTGTCCTCAGTGTGAGGTACCTTGTCCTCTGCGTGAGGAATGTTGTCCTCTGCGTGAGGGACCTTGTCCTCACCGTGAGGAACCTTGTCCTCAGCGTGAGATACCATGTCCTCAGCGTGAGGTACCTTGTATTCAGCGTTAGGAACCTTTTGCTGAGCGTGACGAACATTGTCCTGGGCGTGAGGAACGTTGTGCTCATTGGGAGGTACCTTGTCCTCAATGTGAGGTACCTTGTCCACAGCTTGAGGAACCTTTTCCTCATTGTGAGGTACCTTGTCCTCAGCGGGAGGAACCTTGTCCTCTGCGTGAGGAACCTTGTGCTCAACGTGAGGGACCTTGTCCTCAGCGTCAAGAACCTTGTCCTCAGAGTGAGGTACCTTGTACTCCGTGTGAGGTACTTTGTCCTCAGCTTGAGGAACCTTGTCCTCAGCGTGAGGGACCTTGTCCTCAGCGTCAGGAACTTTGTCCTCAGCGTGAGGAACCTTGTCCTCAGCGTAACGAACCTTGTCCTCAGAGTGAGGAACCTTGTCCTCAGTCTGAGGTACCTTGTCCTCAGTGTGAGGAACTTTGTCCTCAGCTTGAGGAATCTTGTCCTCAGTGTGAGGTACGATGTCCTAAGTGTGAGGTGCCTTGTCCTCACCGTGAGGTGCCTTGTCTTCAGGGGGAGGAATCTAGTCCCCAGTGTGACGTATCTTGTCCTCAGTGTGTGGCACTTTGTCCTCAGCGGGACGAACCATGTCCTCCGCGTGAGGAATCTTGTCCTCTGCGTCAGGAACCGTGTTCTCACCGTGAGGAACCTTGTCCTCACCGTCAGGAAGCTTGTCCTCAGAGTGAGGAACCTTGTCCTCAGTGTGAGGTACCTTGTCCTCAGCGTGAGGAACTTTGTCCTCAGCGTGAGGAACCTTGTCGTCCGCGTGACGAGCCTTGCCCTCAGAGTGAGGAACATTGTCCTCAGTGTGAGGTACCTTGTCCTCACCGTGAGGAACCTTGTCCTCAGCTTGAGGAACCTTGTCCTCAGCATGAGTATGTTCCCTCAGTGTGAGGTACCTTGTCCTCAGTGTGAGTTGCCTTGTCCTCAGCTTAAGGAATCTTGTCCTCAGTGTGAGGTACCTTGTCCTCAGCGTGAGGAACATTGTCCTCAGTGTGAGGTACCTTGTCCTCACCGTGAGGAACCTTGTCCTCAGCGTGAGGAACCTTGTCCTCAGCGTGAGAGACCTTGTCTTTACCGTGAGGAAGCTTGTCCTCAGCGTGAGGAACATTGTTCTCTGTGTGAGGAACCTTGTCGTCAGTGTGAGGTACTTTGTCCTCAGCTTGAGGAACATTGTCCTCAGCGTAAGGAACTTAGTCCTCAGAGTGAGGTACCTTGGCCTCCGTGTGAGGTACATTGTCCTCAGCGTATTTTTTTTTTATGCTTCGGATTTGGCGAAAAAATGAAAATTTTCTTGAAAATTTCGGATTTGGCGAAAAAATTAAAAATTTTCTTGAAAATTTCAGATTTGGCGAAAAAATGAAAATTTCCTTGAAAATTTCGGATTTGGCGAAAAAATAAAAATTTTCTGGAAAATTTCGGATTTGCCGAAAAAATTAAAAACTTTCTTGAAAATTTCATTTTGGCGAAAAAATGAAAATTTCCTTGAAAATTTCGGAATTGGCGAAAAAATGAAAATTTTCTTGAAAATTTCGGATTTGGCGAAAAAATGAAAATTTTGTTGAAAATTTCGGATTTGGCGAAAATATGAAAATTTTGTTGAAAATTACGGATTTGGCGAAAAAATGAAAATTTTCTTGAAAATTTCGGATTTGGCGAAAAAATGAAAATTTTCATAAAAATATCGGATTTGGGGAAAAAATGAAAATTTTGTTGAAAATTTCGGATTTGGCGAAAAAATGAAAATTTTCATAAAAATATCGGATTTGGGGAAAAAAATGAAAATTTTGTTGAAATTTTCGGATTTGGCGAAAAAAGAAAAATTTTCTTGAAAATTTCGGATTTGGCGAAAAAATGAAAATTTCCTTGAAAATTTCGGATTTGGCAAAAAAATGAAAATTTTCTTGAAAATTTCGGATTTGGCGAAAAAATGAAAATTTTCTTGAAAATTTCGGATTTGGCGAAAAAATGAAAATTTTCTCGAAAATTTCGGATTTGGCGAAAAAATTAAAAACTTTCTTGAAAATTTCAGATTTGGCGAAAAAATGAAAATTTCCTTGAAAATTTCGGATTTGGCGAAAAAACGAAAATTTTGTTGAAAATTTCGGATGTGGCGAAAAAATGAAAATTTTCATCAAAATTTCGGATTTGGCGAAAAAATGAAAATTTTGTTGAAAATTTCGGATTTGGCGAAAAAATGAAAATTTTCATCAAAATTTCGGATTTGGCGAAAAAATGAAAATTTTGTTGAAAATTTCGGATTTGGCGAAAAAATGAAAATTTTCATGAAAATTTCGGATTTGGCGAAAAAATGAAAATTTTCTCGAAAATTTCGGATTTGGCGAAAAAATTAAAAACTTTCTTGAAAATTTCAGATTTGGCGAAAAAATGAAAATTTCCTTGAAAATTTCGGATTTGGCGAAAAAACGAAAATTTTGTTGAAAATTTCGGATTTGCCGAAAAAATGAAAATTTTCTTAAAAATTCGGATTTGCCGAAAAAATAAAAATTTTCTTAAAAATTTCGGATTTTTCGAAAAAATGAAAATTTTCTGGAAAATTTCGGATTTGGCGAAAAAATTAAAAATTTACTTGAAAATTTCGCATTTGGCGAAAAAATTATAAATTTTCTGGAAAATTTCGAATTTCGCGAAAATATGAAAATTTTCTTGAAAATTTCGGATTTGCCGAAAAAATGAAAATTTTCTGGAAAATTTCGGATTTGGCGAAAAAATGAAAATTTTCTGGAAAATTTCGGATTTGGCGAAAAAATTAAAAATTTTCTTGAAATTTTCGCTTTTGCCGAAAAAATTATAAATTTTCTGGAAAATTTCGAATTTCGCAAAAATATGAAAATTTTTTTGAAAATTTCGGATTTGCCGAAAAAATGAAAATTTTCTTAAAAATTTCGGACTTGGCGAAAAAATGAAAATTTCCTTGAAAATTTTCTGATTTTTCGAAAAAATGAAAATTTTCTGGAAAATTTCGGATTTGGCGAAAAAATTAAAAATTTTCTTGAAAATTTCGCATTTGGCGAAAAAATTATACATTTTCTGCAAAATTTCGAATTTCGCGAAAATATGAAAATTTTCTGGAAAATTTCGGATTTTCCGAAAAAATGAAAATTTTCTGGAAAATTTCTGATTTTTCGAAAAAATGAAAATTTTCTGGAAAATTTCGGATTTGGCGAAAAAATTAAAAATTTTCTTGAAATTTTCGCTTTTGCCGAAAAAATTATAAATTTTCTGGAAAATTTCGAATTTCGCGAAAATATGAAAATTTTCTTGAAAATTTCGGATTTGCCGAAAAAATGAAAATTTTCTGGAAAATTTCGGATTTGGCGAAAAAATGAAAATTTTCTGGAAAATTTCGGATTTGGCGAAAAAATTAAAAATTTTCTTGAAATTTTCGCTTTTGCCGAAAAAATTATAAATTTTCTGGAAAATTTCGAATTTCGCGAAAATATGAAAATTTTCTTGAAAATTTCGGATTTGCCGAAAAAATGAAAATTTTCTGGAAAATTTCGGATTTGGCGAAAAAATGAAAATTTTCTGGAAAATTTCGGATTTGGCGAAAAAATTAAAAATTTTCTTGAAATTTTCGCTTTTGCCGAAAAAATTATAAATTTTCTGGAAAATTTCGAATTTCGCGAAAAAATGAAAATTTTCTTGAAAATTTCGGATTTGCCGAAAAAATGAAAATTTTCTGGAAAATTTCGGATTTGGCGAAAAAATGAAAATTTTCTGGAAAATTTCGGATTTGGCGAAAAAATTAAAAATTTTCTTGAAATTTTCGCTTTTGCCGAAAAAATTATAAATTTTCTGGAAAATTTCGGATTTGGCGAAAAAATGAAAATTTCCAGGAAAATTTCGGATTTGGCGAAAAAATTAAAAACTTTCTTGAAAATTTCAGATTTGGCGAAAAAATGAAAATTTTCTTGAAAGTTTCGAATTTGACGAAAAAATGAAAATTTTCTTGAAAATTTCAGATTTGGCGAAAAAATGAAAATTTTCTGGAAAATTTCGGATTTGGCGAAAAAATGAAAATTTTCTGGAAAATTTCGGATTTGGCGAAAAAATTAAAAATTTTCTTGAAAATTTCGCATTTGGCGAAAAAATTATACATTTTCTGGAAAATTTCGAATTTCGCGAAAATATGAAAATTTTCTGGAAAATTTCGGATTTGGCGAAAAAATGAAAATTTTCTGGAAAATTTCGGATTTGGCGAAAAAGTTAAAAATTTTCTTGAAATTTTCGCTTTTGCCGAAAAAATTATAAATTTTCTGGAAAATTTCGAATTTCGCGAAAATATGAAAATTTTCTTGAAAATTTCGGATTTGGCGAAAAAATTAAAAATTTTCTTGAAAATTTCGCATTTGGCGAAAAAATTATACATTTTCTGGAAAATTTCGAATTTCGCGAAAATATGAAAATTTTCTGGAAAATTTCGGATTTGGCGAAAAAATGAAAATTTTCTGGAAAATTTCGGATTTGGCGAAAAAATTAAAAATTTTCTTGAAATTTTCGCATTTGGCGAAAAAATTATAAATTTTCTGGAAAATTTCGAATTTCGCGAAAATATGAAAATTTTCTTGAAAATTTCGGATTTGCCGAAAAAATGAAAATTTTCTGGAAAATTTCGGATTTGGCGAAAAAATGAAAATTTTCTGGAAAATTTCGGATTTGGCGAAAAAATTAAAAATTTTCTTGAAATTTCGCTTTTGCCGAAAAAATTATAAATTTTCTGGAAAATTTCGAATTTCGCAAAAATATGAAAATTTTCTTGAAAATTTCGGATTTGCCGAAAAAATGAAAATTTTCTGGAAAATTTCGGATTTGGCGAAAAAATGAAAATTTTCTGGAAAATTTCGGATTTTGCGAAAAAATTAAAAATTTTCTTGAAATTTTCGCTTTTGCCGAAAAAATTATAAATTTTCTGGAAAATTTCGAATTTCGCGAAAATATGAAAATTTTCTTGAAAATTTCGGATTTGGCGAAAAAATTAAAAATTTTCTTGAAAATTTCGCATTTGGCGAAAAAATGAAAATTTTCTGGAAAATTTCGAATTTCGCGAAAAAATGAAAATTTTCTGGAAAATTTCGGATTTGGCGAAAAAATGAAAATTTTCTGGAAAATTTCGGATTTGGCGAAAAAATTAAAAATTTTCTTGAAATTTTCGCTTTTGCCGAAAAAATTATAAATTTTCTGGAAAATTTCGAATTTCGCGAAAATATGAAAATTTTCTTGAAAATTTCGGATTTGCCGAAAAAATGAAAATTTTCTGGAAAATTTCGGATTTGGCGAAAAAATGAAAATTTTCTGGAAAATTTCGGATTTGGCGAAAAAATTAAAAATTTTCTTGAAATTTTCGCTTTTGCCGAAAAAATTATAAATTTTCTGGAAAATTTCGAATTTCGCAAAAATATGAAAATTTTCTTGAAAATTTCGGATTTGCCGAAAAAATGAAAATTTTCTTAAAAATTTCGGACTTGGCGAAAAAATGAAAATTTCCTTGAAAATTTTCTGATTTTTCGAAAAAATGAAAATTTTCTGGAAAATTTCGGATTTGGCGAAAAAATTAAAAATTTTCTTGAAAATTTTGCATTTGGCGAAAAAATTATACATTTTCTGGAAAATTTCGAATTTCGCGAAAATATGAAAATTTTCTTGAAAATTTCGGATTTTCCGAAAAAATGAAAATTTTCTGGAAAATTTCGGATTTGGCGAAAAAATGAAAATTTTCTGGAAAATTTCGGATTTGGCGAAAAAATTAAAAATTTTCTTGAAATTTTCGCTTTTGCCGAAAAAATTATAAATTTTCTGGAAAATTTCGAATTCCGCGAAAATATGAAAATTTTCTTGAAAATTCGGATTTGCCGAAAAAATAAAAATTTTCTTAAAAATTTCGGATTTTTCGAAAAAATGAAAATTTTCTGGAAAATTTCGGATTTGGCGAAAAAATTAAAAATTTTCTTGAAATTTTCGCATTTGGCGAAAAAATTATAAATTTTCTGGAAAATTTCGAATTTCGCGAAAAAATGAAAATTTTCTGGAAAATTTCGGATTTGGCGAAAAAATTAAAAATTTTCTTGAAATTTTCGCATTTGGCGAAAAAATTATAAATTTTCTGGAAAATTTCGAATTTCGCGAAAATATGAAAATTTTCTTGAAAATTTCGGATTTGCCGAAAAAATGAAAATTTTCTTAAAAATTTCGGATTTGGCGAAAAAATGAAAATTTTCTGGAAAATTTCGGATTTGGTGAAAAAATTAAAAATTTTCTGGAAAATTTCGGACTTGGCGAAAAAATTTAAAATTTTCTTGAAAATTTCGGATTTGGCAAAATCCGAAATTTTCCAGAGAATTTTCATTTTTTCGCCAAATCCGAAATTTTCCAAAAATTTTCATTTTTTCGCCAAATTCGAAATTTTCAAGAAAATTTTCATTTTTTCGCCAAATCCGAAATTTTAGCCTTGTCCTCAGCAAAATGAACCTTGTCCTCAGCGTGAGGAACCTTGTCCTCAATGTGAGGTACGTTGTCCTCAGTGTGAAGTATCTTGTCCTCAGCGGGAGGAATCTAGTCCTCAGTGTGACGTACCTTGTCCTCAGTGTAAGGCACCTTGTCCACAGCGTGAGGAACCCTGTCCTCAGCGTGACGAACCTTGTCCTCAGGGTGAGGAACCTTGTCCTCAGTCTGAGGTACCTTGTCCTCAGTGTGAGGAACTTTGACCTCAGCTTGAGAAATCTTGTCCTCACCGTGAGGAACCTTGTCCTCAGCGTGAGTAACCTTGTCCTCAGTGTGAGGTATCTTGTCCTCAGTGTGAGGTACCTTGTCTTCAGCGGGAGGAATCTAGTCCTCAGTGTGACGTACCTTGTCCTCAGTGTGAGGCACCTTGTCCTCAGCGAGAGGAACTTTGGCCTCTGGGTGAGGAATCTTGTCCTCTGCGCGAGGAACCTTGTCCTCACCGTGAGGAACCTGATCCTCAACGTCAAGAAGCTTGTCCTCAGTGTTATGGCGTGTGCATTTAAGTATAAAATTTATTAAATGACTAATTATGCAAATTATAGTTTGTTATGCATGATTGACATTGGACATTTCGTAAGGCTTTTAATACTTGCTATAAAATTAACTAGTCAGTTGATCATACGATACGAAGTCGAACAGAAGGCGTTTCATTTATGTTATAAGTGACAGTATAACGATCGAAGTTGAGTTAAAGGTTAAACGAACTTGCTTCACCTTAAACGGACACAGATGTAGGTACTTGTGTATTTATTACTCTGTGCATTCATGTTTACGTTTTTTGTAGTATAGTTTAGCATGCATGTATTTCTTTATCTTCGATTTTAGTTTTTTTTTACCTATCCGAATACACCGAGCAGCGATGGCGAACTCTTAAACGGCCACAATGCTGAGCGTGGATTGGGTTAACAACGTCTGTTTTTTACTGAATAAATTTTACCTAATATCAATTCTGTGAGACAATAGAAATTTACGTGCACTTACATCGTAACAAAAAAATCTTGAAACGTTTTACCGAGATACAACGAAACGTTCTTAGTATGTAATCGCTCGATCAATTGTCGTCTTTGAATAGATAAACTAACGTTTGAGAAACGGTATGAGTACTTCAAGAGTCGACGAAGATACGCATGGAGACACCCAGCCTCAGATATTTGCCGAGGAAACAGACAATGTTGATATACAATCAACAGGCAATCGACAGCAGAGTAATGGTCAGTCAAGTACAGAAGAAACAAGCTCGGTTGACCACGATGAGAGTGAAAAGGGAAAATCAGTAAAGATCGATCGTCGCAGACAGCGACGAATAACAGCTCTATGTGCCGTGACTCGACAAAGGAATGCATTGTCTGCCTTTATGACTGATCGTAAAGCCTAGTTTCCATTTGGTCGTTAGTTGTGCCTGGCACGACAAGTGGCTGATGTAATAGAGTGTCAACAAAACTTCATAAAACTCTGCAATCATTAAGACTGATTTGCATATAACACACAAAGATTATTATTATATTAGACTATTTCACATCTACCGCTTGTCGTGCCAGCGACAACTAACGACCAAATGGAAACTAGGCTTAACAATTTCCATCTGGTCAAACTTGAGTTGTCTCATTTGGAAGAACGCTTTGTAGAATATAGAAAAGCGTGTGATTCTCATCTAAAAGAACTAAGCGAAGGCGAGGAAAAAAGCTGTAATCAAGCATAAAAATTTGAAAGAAAAAGATATTGTAATATACCTAAGTCAAGTGTCGTCATGGATCACTGAAGCAGAACATAATTTATCTGACCGCCTTTAATCGTTAAGCAGCAAAGTCTCTGATCGCACTCGAGCATCTCACCGCACTCGCGCATCCAAGACTAGTTCAAGATTGGCGAAGGTTTCTGCCAGAATGCAAGAAAAGGTCAGATTGGCTGAGCTGATAGCGAGAGATCCATGTTAAAGAAAAGACAAGCTCTTAAGAATGCGGAAGAAGATCTAAAATTGGAAATAGAGATAGTCAAGGCGAAAGCGACGTAGAAAGCTTTGGCGGAAATGAGCGAAGATGAATTGTATAGTTATAAGTCAAGACGTCCCGTGTCCTTGTCGACCGCATCATCCTACCAACAGCTTCCTGCTTCAAAGGTGTCTTGTCAAAGTTTTCCTTCTAAACTACATATGGCAAGCCAACCAAGTGAAATATCGCATAATGCTACAGAAAGACGTAGTGTGATGCGCGGTGTTCAAACATTGCCTCAACGTACAAACCAGTCTAGTGATTCAAAACATTCAAAACCGCAACAAGTACAATCTCCATCAAATGCTCGACCATTTGAATACGAATATCATACGTTCGTAAATCCCACCTCAGCGTCAAATGTTAACAATGGAATAGGAGTTGCAAAGAATCCCCCTGATAAAGAACCGAGCCCAAATACAGCCAACGTGATAGAAAGTGTGCTTGAAAGTATGATGTTACTTCAGCAAAGACAAGCTGAAACATTGATATCAACCCATCAACAGCTCACCGCTTCAATGACTTTACCACAACCATCTATAAACGTATTTAAAGGCGATCCTCTAGAATACAGAACTTTCGTTATGTTCTTTGACACCCGAATACAGTATCGAGTTAATAACAACGCAGACCTACTTTATTATTTAAACCAACATTTGAGTGGAGAACCGAAAGGTATGATTGAAGGTTGTTTACACATGGATCCGGAAATAGGCTATACGGAAGCAAGACGGTTGCTGAAGAAAGAGTATGGGGATCCATACCAGATATCCATGGCGTATATCCAGAGAATCCTCAATTGGCCACTCATCAAATCGGACGAAGGAAAAGCCCTAAAATCATTTTCCCTTTTTTTGATCAAATGTAAGACCGCTATGAAGAGTATTTCTCATTTGTGTGTACTTGATCGTGCACCGAACATGCAAGCAGTGGTCTCAAAGTTACCATTCCATCTACAAGCAAAATGGAGAGACCTCGTAGCCAAGATCAGAAGGGACAACGCAAAGATAGCAAACTTTGAGAACCTCGCCAGTTTTGTCCAATCGGCTGCTGATGCTCCAAATGATCCAGTGTTTGGGAAAGAAGCTCTCAATAAAAGCAAAGAAAGCTCCAAGAAATTTGATAAAAGAGACAGCATTCAGTTAAAGAACAAGAACTCTAGTTTTGCAACAAATCCCACCTTAATACACGGGGCCGGGTCAGCAAAACCGATCATCGTCTGTCCATTGTGCAACTCCTCTCACGACCTGGACGACTGCCAACTTTTTCTGAAGAAAACCGTCGAGCAAAGAAAAGAATATCTCAAGCAGAACAAGATGTGTTTCGCCTGTTACGAGAAGAATCTCATTTCAAGAGGCTGTTTACGAAAAAGAAAATGTAAGAAATGTAACAAGCCACATCCATCTGCTCTTGACGTTGATGACTTTAAATTAGAGAATCAAGTTCGTAAAAGCGAGGAAGAAGTGAAGAATGCATGTACCAAAATGCCCTCCAATTCTCCAAACGACGTGGTAGTCGTACACGCTATCATACACGTGAAAGTCAAGCCGAAGGGTAGTACCGGAACAGTAACTACTTATGCTTTCTATGACAATGGGAGTGGAGGCTATTTTCTAACAGAAAATCTTTGAGAGCAGCTCGGTGTGCAAGGTCAACGTACGAAGTTGCAGCTTGGAACAATGCTCGATCGTAATTTAGTGGACAGTACCATTGTAGAAGATCTGGTAGTGACCGATATGAAAGACTTGAATCCAGTTGAAATAACAAGACTGTATACAAGAACCGAGATACGGGTACCAGACGGACAAATCCCTACACCTGGAATGGTTCAACGGTGGCAGCATCTTCACGAAATTGCGAAGCTGATTCCAGAGTTTCAACCAGATCTCGAGATTGGTTTGTTAATCGGTAGCAATTGCCCAGCAGCACTCGAGCCTTTAGAAGTAGTACCCAGTCGTGGTGAAGGTCCCTTCGCGATGCGGCTTCGTCATGGATGGACTTTGAATAGACCTTTGTCCATATCCAACACATCACAATCTGACATCACGTGTCATCGAATTACTGTTCGTGAAACCAATGATACAGTTAAAGAAGTTATTTCACCCGAGGCTATTGGAAGAATGTTTGAATTGGACTTCAACGATCATAAAGTTGGTCATGATGAACGAAGCTTTTCCCAAGAAGAAAAGAAATTTATAACTAACATGGATAATGGCATTCGTCTACCCAAGGGCCATTATGAGACACCCTTTCCATTCAGAAATCCAGAGATGATATTGCCAAACAACAGAAATCAAGTATTGAAACGAGCATT